CCCATCTCAAATTCATACTCTTCTCATCCAAAATACTTACAAATTCTATGCATTCTAAGAACGTAAATACTACCACTAATAACAAATTAACCTTTAATGCCTAACCTTTGGATGATGAGGATGACAAAGATGATATGAAAATGGCTAATACTGACAGATGCCTATACCCACACAGAGATTACAAGAGTCTTATCCTTCTAACCACCCTCTACTGTAATTACTATCAGTTAGGATCCCCTTTTTATGGGTGAAGTGAATTTGCCTAAAGTTAAACAGCTGCTAAGTAAGTGGTAATGTCAAGATTTGAACCCTGGCAGTCTGGCTCCAGAGCTATTAACCACGGAATACATTCTATTCAAGGCCATTCTGAAAACTTACCTTTCTACTCTCTTTTTCTACTGCTCCCTCTTCTCCCCAACATCCTATACTCTACATTTTAAGACACACAGGACCAAATACGATATGTATATTTTCACACCTCTATGATCCAGCTGTGAAGTTCCACTCCTCCTCTCCCCACCCAAATCAAAAGCCATCTCCTCTGACAGAACTTCTATACCCATTCCCTATAGAATTACTCACTTCCCTGAGGCCAGAGCACTCATCATATTATATACTCATGTACCTGTCTTCCACTGCTGGTCTGTGAGCCTCTGGAGTTCCCTGTGTCTTTCACATCTTTGTACTGCACAGTTACCAACACATAGAGTAGTTCAATCAAAGCTTACAAAACGGAACTTAATTAAATGTAAATTCTGCTAGCCAAGATGTTGATCTAATAATAGTAAGGTTCTACTTTGCCTTACTTTCAACTATAAAATAGACATTACAAACCAAAAGGATTCCCTTGAAGGTATGAAGTTAGCAGCTATCCTCCAAATGTTAAAGAAACACTGAATTCTTAAAGCTGTATACTTCACAAAGCACTGGAAAGCAGAAGTCTAAGATGCCACAAACATTTCTGGTACCCTGCTTCCCAAGCGTTAGTCCAGAGAAGTCCGTCTCTGTTCCTGCTCTTGCCACTCCCCTACCCCAATAAGCAACCAAATTCATACACAACACAATGCATCCAAAGTGAGGGAGGGCCGGCCCCGTGGCTTGGCGGTTAAGTGCGCGCGCTCTGATGCTGGCGGCCCGGGTTCGGATCCCGGGAGCGCCCCGAGGCACTGCTTCTCCGTCCAACGCGAGGCCGAGTCCCACGTACAGCAACTAGAAGGATGTGAACCTGTGACGTACAACTATCTACTGGGGCTTTGGGGGGAAAAACTGAATAAATAAAATCTTTAAAAAAAAAAAAAAAAAAAAAAACAAAGTGAGGGAAAAATTAGCAAAAACACAACTTGCTACCTACATGCCAGCCACACTGCAAAAATAACTTTTATACATACTGTACTAACGCCCTTTCCTCTAATGAGGAGTTTTCAAACTATTTTCCTTCCATGCTTCTAGTGGCTCTTTCCAGTTTAGAGTACAGCAAACTCTCAGGGGGGTAGGGGGCTCTCCAGGTCTGGAGTAGAGCCTGGGAGGCTGCCTTTTTAACGAGGACCCTAAGTCATTCTGATACAGATGAACCACAGACCAGACTCTGAGAAACAGTTCTGGATGTTCACAGGCAATGTTCTCTCCAACTTGAAATTTCACAAACCATGAAAACTAAGCCTACACTGGCAATCTATGTTACATCCACTAAAACTAGAAGCAAAACTAATATGATACACAATAGCTAACTTTTATACTGAGGTACTGTGCTGAGTATTTTTCAGTTTTCTTTCATTTAATCTTTATCACCATGTGAAGTAGATATCATCACCACTTGTTTTACAGATGAGAAAGTTAAGGGTTAGAAAGGTATTCATTTCCCTGTATCACATCGCTTCTAAGTGGCGGAACACGGGTGTTAAACCCAGAGTGTCTACCCAAAGCCTGTGCTCCTAACCTGTGTTATGCCACCTGTGCATTTGTACTATAACTACTGAGTAAGATAGAGATCGTGTAGTATATTTTGTATAGTGTAATACTCTACACTATATAGTGTAGTATAGTGTAATATATTTTATTGAGTAAGACAAAGTCAGGCAAAAGGAGGGAAGGCACAAAAACAAAGGTAGTTCCTAATGACAAACCACTTTGCCGTGGAGATGGCAAGGACTGAAAGTGGGAGGTTTAAAACACCTCCTAGGGATGGGTGCTGGGATAATCTTATAGTAGTCAAGGGAAAAAAGTTCTGGACCAGCCAATGATTAGCTCTAACCCTGGTGGAATAAAGCAACTGGATAGGGATCCAGCAGAATATGGACGCCCTCTAAAGATCCGAGACCTTCCACTAAGGGACTTGCAGACACTGGGTCCCTAACAAAGGTCATCTGATAGACGCCTAGAAGCCAGCAGCCTGAGCTGGATGGGCCCTGCAATGTGAGTCATGTGAGGTTTACAGAACTATGTAAGGTAGACCCTTCCCCTCCACCAGCAAGGATTTCTACATTTCAGTGAGGCTGCAAACTGGCGGTAATCTCCCTTTAATCAAAAAGGGAGTCTAGTGATTACAAAGAATCTCCTTTTTGCCTTTTCTCTCCTTCCAGATTTAGTCTGAGAAATACAGCAAATGGTCTAGTTCATGCTATGAAGACTTCAAATCTGAAAACATTTTGTCCCTCTCTGTATGGCAGTTCAAAGAGTGAAACAATACATTCCTGGGAAGGAAGCTATCACTCACATCAACGTAACTTACTTAGTAACAAGCAGTATCCCTTGTCACACCTCGCTCAGAGCGATGCACTAGAGGAAAAAGTATTTTTCTGGAGTTTTTGGGGGGAGAGTGGGTTAATTTTACAGCATGAATACTCTATGGAATGACAGATCTGAGGGAAGGGAGTTTTAGGAAACATGAAGAGTGGTCACATAAGGAGCCCAAGATCCTGGAAACAGAGCCCTTCTAGAAATCAGAAGAAAACAGCACCCTCCTCCACACATTGCTGAACCCGGCTCTCCTTAGGTTGCCACTCTGCTGTAAGGGTCAAAAAGTTGAGAGGGCAGCCAGACTGAGGTCACCACCTCTTTCCTCCATCAATAGCGCCCACTTACAGCTCTCCTTCCCCTCCACCTGTCACACTAGGCTGGCTCCAGAAGTCTGAAGGCGAACTGAAGCAATGATGTTCCCCAAATATCTCTAAGAACTGCTTCAAAAACTAAGCCTGTGTAACTTCGGTGTGTTCTCTATTTCCTAGGTTCTATCTTATACATCATGAAGCTACCTCCTTGACATAATGTCCAAGACACAGTTTTGGAGTACCACCCAGCAGAGTTCAAATATCAACTCTACCACTTGTTACTTAACCCTCCAAAACCTACTGTGAGTTAAAATGAGATCTTGTAGGTAAATCGCCCACTATACAGTAGGAGCTCAGTAAGTGATAGCTACTCAGTAAGTGATAGCTATTATATGAGGGAAACGGGGTTCCAGAACTTTTAACAATCAAAATTTAAAGAAAGCATTTTGCATGTTCAAAAGGTTTAAAACAATACTCTTGTTCTAATTAGGAAACACTATTGATCATTTTTCAGGGCAATTCTCTCCCAAAAAAACATCCGTTGTCTAAAATCCTTGATAAAATAAATAGTAAGATTCAGCCTACTCCCTACAACCACTCCATCTGTTTTATTTGGTTAGGAAGTACTATATTAAGTTTCCTGAAACTCCCAGCCATTCAGCCCAAAAGATTCTACCAGAAATTCCCAGAGAACAAAAAACAAAGGTATATATTGGCAATATTAATACATAAGCTAAAAAAACACTCATTTCTTTTTTCACTAGATTCGAACACGAAGCCAATCAGATGATAAATCTTATCTCTTTCCACTTCCACAATTTGAATTTCTTTGTGAATGACACCGGTGGAACCCAACAGCTCCATTGAGGACCTTTCCCAAGAAAGTTCCCAGGTATAGAGAAAAACTATTTTTAGGTCCCTAATAACAAGGAGACAAACCCTGGATTGTTTTTTAAACAAACGTTTTACATCCTAAACACAAAATCAGCCTATCAGAAATACACCCAGAATCGTACTTCTCACTTCTTGCTACCCCCTTTCACCAAGTCCTAGGAAATGCTAACATGCTCCCAGCCTTCCGTCTCTTCAGGGATCCCAATCTGCTATATATGCTAAGGCATTCAGTGCCCCAAATCTGCTTTGTGCAAGAGACATGCGCTATACTAACATTAACCACGTCACTAAAACAAAGTGACAAACCACTCCTAGCCTCACCCCCAAGGGAGGGTCCGCCGTAAGCAGCGGGCCGCCAGAATCGCAGGTTTATCGTTAACAGACATCAGCCCAAGCCCCAGGGTAGCGGCTGCACCGCCCCCGTCGGGACCGCACGGGGTCGGCGGCGGGGTGACGGCGGCGGGCGCGGAGGGGCGCGGGCAGCCCGGGGAGCACGGAGCCGC